CCAAATGCTTGTCTGCGCTCTGGTAAGTCTTCAAAACAGTTACAAACACTTATTTTTTCCACTCCCCCCTCTTTATTCCGTGTTTTCGTTTATGTGTTTGGGAGGGGGCCCTCCCCCACTCGCTTCCCATCACTTTTTAAGGGGGGCAGCTTTCTTTTTAAATCTTCATGCTCGCTTCAACCCGACTCACAGTTTATTGTTGGCCAACTGGCCTCGCTCAGCATCGTTTTTTCCGCCCGATCTCCAACTCTTGTCCCAGTCAGCAGCACTCGTACCATACGGTCACTCAGCGGCAGGACCTTCAGGGCGGAGGAGCACCTCAATTCCCCGGTATCGCACCGTCGAAGACGTCGCCCCTCAAAAGCCCCCTGGCTAGGAGCCTTTTACCAAGGCTCCGGGGGGATCACAATCCGTCGCATCCCCTCCTACATGCTGGTGTGCAGTTTCCATCCCTGGGGCGTCCAGGAGATGTGTCTGCCTGCGTGTCGCCATAGACCGGAAGCCCCCAAGCACAACATTTCAATGTTTGCAGGAGGGAGCGCACACATCCCTGCCTAAGAAGATCACAACCGCAGCTGGGTTCATGGCACGAGAAGAGCTTTTCACGCTCGGGCAGATTTCCCCCCAGTCCAAACCTGCCAACACTGCTGACAGTTGGCTGCTTAGTTCCGATCAATATGTGAAGTTCCACCCCATGGCCCGGCTGCTGCTCTTTGGCTCTGGTGATTCGGCTCTTCCTGCTGCCAGACTGCAACGCTGCAGTGACAGGAGAAGCCACAACTGGCAGCATTTCCCTGTCAGGGCTTCAGCAGCAACCCAGTTTTTGGCACGCAGGGCTGCCGTCATCACATCTCGTTAAGCCCTCCAACAAATGCTGTTTTCTCCAGGCTTCTCAGATTCAGTGTCTTATTTTAGAAAAACAAAAAAAATCCCTAATATGGATTCTCATTTTGAACACGTTTGCTGTATGGCCAGTGCTAAACCGAGGAAGAAGCAATGCATCATCTGTTGAACTCAGGGCAGTGCTGTGCCTTACCCTAAACATGACCCTGCTACCCCAAATGGCCATTTAACTCCATCCTGTTGCAGGAGTTACTTGGTACTCTTGGACTAGGGTTGCCAGCCTCCAGGTGGCACACGGAGATCTGCTGTTAAGAACATAAGAACATAAGAGATGCCAATGTTGGATCAGGCCAAAGGCCCATCCAGTCCAACACTCTGTATCACACAGTGGCCAGAAATACCAGGTGCCATCAGGAGGTCCACCAGTGGGGCCAGGACACTAGAAGCCCTGTTATTACAATGGATTTCCAGCTGACCAAGATCAGTTCCCCTGGAGAAAATGGCTCCTTTGGAGTGTGGACTCTGTGGCAATATACCCTGCTGAGGTCCCTCCACTCCCCAGGCTCCACCTCCCAAATCTCCAGGGGTTTCCCAACCCAGAGCTGGCAACCCTATGCTCCCCTGTTTTTAGGGAAAAGAAGGCTTGGCTTCAGTGAGAGAATAGTAGTTCTGTTATCTGGCCTTACCTGGGTACCCTGCCGTGGCCCAAAGACCCACCAAGTGAAGCACCCTTTCCTTCCCCTGGATTCTTGCTCCCCTTGCATGAATATATCCATATGATCTCCAGACAATCTCCAGAATGAACTCATCTCCAATCTCCAGAATGAACTCTTCTCCAGTTGTTTTGGTTCCTTGCTGCCTTCAAGCGCTGTCTTCAAGACCATGCTAGTCTTTTCTGGGCGTCACGTCCAAGCAGAAAGGATGCCATGATCCCAGAACTTCCTGCTTCAAGCGTTGGTGTCTGCCTTGTGTGAGCAAGCCCAGTTTTCTGTCAGGAAAGTTGGCTGCTTTCCACCCCATGGGTTGGATCCAGGTTAAATTATTTGGTGGCAGAATGGAACTTTCCTTCCTTCTGCTGCAGCCCACCGATCTCCTTGAAATGTTGCTCCTGAGGGCTAGGGGATCCTGTGGAATGACCCGGGGGATGGGGTGTCTGCAGCAGGAAGGGGAAATCAGCAGAAACTGGATCTAACCCCATGTCTGTCTCTAACGTTGAAGTCAATCTAGAGCAATCTAGGATTTCGTTGCATGTGCATGTGGTTCTGTTGCACATAAACAGTAATTCAATGCAGTATATGTTTCCTTGTGTGCAAGCAGGTCATCTCACCGCAGCGCATTCCTTCTACTGTGACTCCATCGCTACTGATGTCCCCGATGGTGTTTACGCAGTCAGCCCCAGCACCACCAAAACCAAGCGAAAGTGGATGGCTGCCCATTGGGAACCAAGAATCAGCTTCTACTTCGACTAACCGCCTCTTGCCTATGCAGAACCCGGAACCATCTGTTGCGAGCAACACTCCCCTGACAAAGCTACAGCTGCAAGAAACATTGTTACATCTGATCCAGGTAAAACGATCCCTGACGTTTTTCTTCTGCCTGTATCCGGTCTCACTTGTGGTGTCTGATAAATTGAGAACCAGCGTGGTGTAGGGCTTAGCGTGGTGGATTAGGATGTAGGTGACCTAATCCATTGATAGTTTGTTTATGCCCCACTTTCCTTCCCAGTAAGGACCCAAAGTAGCTTATGACATTTCTGCATTTTACCCTGACAACCAATTCATGTGGCAAATGAGGCTGAGAGGGTGTGTCTGGCCCAATGTCACCCAGCAAACTTCCATGGCAGAATGGGGATTCAAACCTGAGTCTTCTAATCTGACACGTCAGCCACTACACCACCCTGACTCTCATAGGCTCACAACTCACAGGCTTGTTTGTGAAAATAAAGGGGGGGGGATGTTGGAAGCCATTTTGGGTCCATTCAGGCTAATGTGCACAAATGAATATCTATATATCTATCTATATCTATCTATATATATATATATCTGCAAGCCTGACAAATGAGACTGCAGAGAACTTCAGAGTGCAGTGTCACCAATAAGCATATTTCTGTGTGTGTGTGTGTGTGTGAGAGAGAGAGAGAGAGAGAGAGAGAGAGAGAGAGAGAGAGAGAGAGAGAGAGAGAGAGAATATGAATATCTGCCAATGGCCCATGAGTATGCCCTTTCCCCCCCACAATATGTCTTCATACTGCTACTGGCCATGGTTGCCTAAAGGGACCCTTCCCCATTCAGCGAAAGAAAACCTCTGAATATTAATGCTAGGAGATAGCGTGAGGGAAGAGCCTTGGCCTCCACACACTGTTGTTAGCCCTCCAGGATAAGTGGTTGGTTGGTGTGTGCAAAAGAGGATGCTGGACTAGATGGAACGCTGGTTTGGCCCAGCATGGCTCTTCTAACATTAAGATAGCCTCTGGGCCTGTTTCTGTGTTGTAAAACTATGTGAGTAAGCGTCAATAACTATAGATTCAGGTGGGCTGCCATGTTGGTCTAAAGCAACAGAACAAAGTTTGACTCAAAATTTGTTCTTCAGTAACTATGTTGTTGTGCCCTTGGGCACATGCCATAAAACTCCTTGGCTATTCTGTTTGTTACCAGGGGGCCCCACCCCATCTGGGGAGTAGGATCTGAACAGGTGAAATCCCCCTTCCTTCCTCCAGTCTCTCCCAGAAGCTTATCTTTGGGATTTGCTGATTGCTACTCAAATCTCTGTTCATGCTGCTCGTCTGATGGAAATCTTGCTTGCAGCTACTTTTTTTTTTTTGGCGTAGGATGGCATTCTTGTTGCCCTGACCTGAACGGCTCAGTCCTGTCAGATTTCAGAATCTAAGCAGGGTTGGCCCCGGACTCAGGACTTGGATGAGAGACCACCAAGGAAGTCCAGGGTTGCTTTGCAGAGGCAGGCAACCTCTGTTGGTCTCTTGCCTTGAAAACCCTACAGGGTCACTGTCATTTAGTTCGTCTTTTGCTTCCTGCTCTTCCTCAGGATGCTCAGAATGGCATTCTTATCTTGCAAAAACTCTTTTGAAATAAATGGGGATGACAGACGTGCCCCAAACCAGTTCATGAGCCTCACAGGTGAGCAGGTGCTTGAATCAGGGCTCTTCAGATCATAAACATCACTAGTTCTAGTGGATTAAGATGACCATATACAGCAAAGTGTTCAAAAGCCATGCAATCTTATTTTTAGTCCCGTCCCATTCCCCGTTAACCAGTGACATGAATTTGGGCCTTTTGTTTTGTTTCAGAATGATGAAAACTTCCTAAACATCATCTACGATGCCTACCTTGGCAGAGTGAGAAAAGCAGCTCTGAAAAAGCCCATGTGAAACGTACTTCTTAATTTAACGTTTGTGATGTTTGGTACTTGCCTTTTTTAAAAAAACAACAACAGCAGTCAAGCAAGATGAGTGGTCTTTGGCTTTCTGCATACCTTTAAGCAATGCTCATTGGCAAGTACAGGCTGTACTAAGAAAATGAGTAGGTGGGAGCTGATTGTGCCTTCCAGGAGGGTAAGGGAGAGACTGTCACAGCAAGAAGACAAGCGTAAGTGAAAAGATGTGCTTACAATTTTTTCTCTTACACAGGCCAACTTTTAGAAAGACCAACACTTTCTGTTCGGGCTTCTAATCCTGGGTTTGGACACTTATGAAGTATTAATTGCCTTGGTATTTTTCTCTGAGATCTTCTGTGACCAGAGGTAGCAAGAATGCTGTTATCGTGCAGCACAATTTTTACAGGGACTGGTAGGTACTAATTGATGACCAGCAGATGGCAGTTTAGGACTGTTGTTTAGATCATGGAGCTGTTCTGAAAACACTGTTTGGAGATGGAGAATAGCTGAAAACGAAATGGCAGAATTGCCCATGACGTAGTCCCTTCATCCCATTAGGACACCATCTCTGTTTACGTTCAAAACCTGTTTGATCAGAGATGGTGGCAGGGCAGAAGCAAATGAGTGATGACACCACATGCTTCCATATCATCTGTGGCTTAGGGAAGGACACCATGTGCCACTGGAGATCTGCTTCTCGTGTCATGCCTTTCCAAGTCAACGCCATGGCTGAAAAAGGTGATGTGGGAAGGTTTAGCCCAGGAGTCCGCCGCTGGGAAAGACTTCTGCATGCCGAAAATCTGACAGGGCTGGGTGTACCTGTTTCCTTCGTAGAAATAAGGAAGTGTAAGTTTTTTCCTCCACCATGGTTTGTGGAAGCATGCTTGCCATTTAAAAACACAAGGGACAGAGGTAGCCAACCCAGAAAAAATAGGTACACATGCAGTGGCATTACAGTTGGCATCCTTAAGATTGCTTTGATCTCTGCAAAACAATCCCCTCCGGTTATCTCCAGTCTATTAAATCTGAAAATGTCAGCTTTCAAACTCTTTTTAAAACAAAAACACAAGCTCTTTTTATAAGCATATATTTTTCTATTTTGTGACCGGTATGCTCATAGAAGCCAGCAGATGATAAAATTATAACTCTCAGAAATCAGTGCTTTTACTTCTAGCTGCTCTCGCCTTCTGATGTAGATATAGGCTGGCACACCAGGCCACGATACTTCAGTGTGCTTCTAGGGGGCGGCTGAATAGTTTTTAACATTCTGTTAAAAGTAGAGAGAAGAGTAAATAGTTTTCATTTTCGGTGTGCTGTTCCGTGAGCAGATGGACAATGGTTTTAACAATCTATTTGTAAAAAAAAAATAAAAAAATAAAATGGCTTATACAAACTGTGCTTTGGATTCATCTTATTACTACGTGGATGAAGGATTCAAGACTTGGGAGAGATGCTTTTTGGAGTTTATGGCTTTAAGATCTGGATTTAACTCGCCGCAAACACACTTAAGATTGGCGTACAGCACAAAGGGCCTCCTTATGTTAATACCTGGCAGTTTAGAATCACACGAGAAAGCAGCAACTTGGAAGCATGTGACATTTGTTTTCTTTAGATTTGTCAAACAGAATTATCCAGCTGCTTTGTCACGGCAGATTATTTGTCTGTGGAGAATTGTGGCTGCTCAACACCCCACTAGAAGAAGAAGAAGAAAAATATGTGCAGAGAGGAATATTCTCTTCTCAAGATATAATCTGGGTTGCTGGTTTTCTCTGTGTAGCTGCTCCGGTGCTGGGGATGATAGCTGCCAAACAGTCGGTGCACGTACAACATTGGGGGATGTCAGAACTACAAGCACGTCAGCCAGAAGAGACTATCAGGTGCTTCAGCAAGGCTAGGTGGGTAGGTGACCCACAAGTCCTTGTATGATGCCATCACACACACCCCGGTACAATTTACAGAAATCTGTAGGCATGAAATGAGTCTAAAGTTAGATCACAGGTTTTGCTGCTCGGTCTGAAAGGGGCAATTCACCACCGTTTCTTTGTTTGCTGTCTTAGTCTTACCATAAGGTTGATTTTCATATTTTACGTCACTGCTTTATCTGTTGCATTTCTTACAAGGCTACGTATTAGAGATTGTACTTGGAAAATGGTACCAAGATGTCAGTGAAGAATTAGAAGTATATGATCTCTGATTAATCCGATTTCTTGCCGGCATTTGCAATTCAAATATTCTTCTTTAAGACATCTTGATCTTTCTTCAGGCTCCTTCATACACATTTCAGATTTTTATGTTGAGTTTTATGCCTTCATATATGAGTTTGCTCTATTTTGACTGATGCAGTATCTGTCAGGTCATTATCCTCTTTCTCCAGTCTCAACATGTGGATTCTGGGCTTTGGACTGGGGCATTTGGAGTCAGAAAGCTGAGAGCAAGATTTGCCCAGAACTCTTTTTCATGTTGAATGTTAAAGATCAAAACAAACAAACAAACTGGTGGGTAGGAGAAAAAAATGCTTCTGGGAATGACAGAAAGGGCCCATGGTGTATCTTTCTCAACAGTCTGGGAAAGGAATGCAGGAAGCGTTAGGCAGACTAAGTTAGATTAGATGGTGCTAGGTGCAAAATAGATTTCCAGTTGCATCAACAGCTACTGAGGGGGGCGGGGAATACGATTTTACTTTTAAAAACCTGGTATGACAAGTAGGAAACCTGCAAGGACTTGCAGGGGGACATCTCGTATGACCCGTATCCCCCCCATACACTATTTCCTCATTCCCTCCTCCTGCAGCCCCCATAGCCACTTCCCTTTTCCTGCTTCCTTCTCTCCTTCTACCCACCACCCTGCCTTTAGCTGTCCCCCCCCCTTGCCCAGTCTTCAGCTTTCCCTCCATTCCTCCTCCTGGCAGCTCCTACCCAGGGAAAGCCTAGCCAGGTTGCAAAAATCATGTGTTGGACCTTGGTTGTGCGCCGCCTGTTGCTTGCAGGCAAGTTGTGAGTTGCTGCCAGGCATGGCCCCCAACAGCTCTTCTGTTGTTCCAATGCAGAAGAACCCCAACGGAGGATTAGGGATGGTGTGGTCAGGAGACCCTAATTCCAGTGACCAGCTTGTTGGCAGCGAGGTTCCATAGCTATAAGTATCTACAGGATTACTTCCTCCTTTTAGCCTTCCTAATTAAGGGTTAAGAGTTCCAGGTGCAGGCATTAGCCCCAAGCTAGCATGACCATGCAGGCTGCCAGGTGTTACTAGTCCTGGAAGGTTGCACAAGTGGAGGAAAGTATCAAGAAGTAAGAGGCAGCAAGTGGGCTTCACCAGAGACCAGGACGTGTTGTGGAACCAGGCTCATGGCTGTAAGAAGCCCCCAGGGACTAGGACAGACTTAAAAGACTGCTGTCTTTTTATTGTGGACTGTCTTCCCCCTTAATTAAACCCTGTTCATGTTACAACAATATCTTGCCTCTGTGAGCTTTTTCTACCATCCAGATCCCTTAAAGGGCCCTTGCCTCAGGCAGAATGCTCTTACATGGGGAATTCTAGGGCTGTTTTGGCCTCCCAGTCCATCCCTTCTCTCCCCTTATGACGTTGCATGGAAGGCCTTGTGGTGGTTGTCTGTCAACCCTCAAAATGGCCCCTGGCTGGTTAGTGGGCATTCTTCTATTAATGCTACAGCTGTTGCTTTTGTTATTTGGAGGAGCTTTAGTATCTGTCTATCTAATCTTAGGTGACAGATTTTCCTGCAAATCTGGGACTTCCTTCAGGTTTGTGAAGAAATCCGGTCTGTCCGTGCCCCCATTCTGCAGATTTTTTTTTTGATCCGCACTCCATGAGCTGGTTTGGAGTTAGATAGGATGATGCTGTGAAATTAATGCTATTTGTATGCAAATATTATTAGTATGCAAATACAGATTCCCCCCCCCCAATGGCTCAGACATCGCTACCCACAATTTTTGTCTACATTCCAATACCACCTTGCCCCAGGATTTAAACGCTCTCTCAGATTTTTAATCCGTAAAGTAATTATATGGTTGCTAAGAAAATCAGTGTGTGATAAAGCACGTTGAAGAATTGCAAATTTATGAAATCTTGTGTGAAACAGATCAGCACAATCCATAAGTGGACAGCAACTCTATAGCCATCAGAAGGTGAGGGAATACAAGGATCCTTCCATTGGCCTGCCTGGTCCAGCCACCCAGGCTGTGGATACTATTGCTTCAAGGCGATAGAGGAATTTGGGGAGGGATATTTATCCAATAGTCTGCTTCCTAGTTAGAAAATAGCAGCTTAGAAGCTGCTGCAGTCATAAGTAGCCAAAACAACGTGGTAGGGCAGGTAGGAGGGAGTTCTTCCTTGGGAGACATACCAGATTGAGCATAAGGACTGCTCACTGCAGCCACTAATCTAGAAGTGAGTCATACCAGAGAAGCCTGAAGGATTCAAGTGTGTTGAGCCAAAAGAAAAGAAGATTAAACGTTGGTCTTCGTCAAACACCTTGCTTCTTTCCATCTCGGTGACACACGAGCATTTAGGTCACCAGGGAGCATCTTGGCTTTACCGTCTGCATGCCAGTTTTGAACAGACGTAGGCAGCCACCTTCCCAGCAGCTTCCCCTGTGGGATTTACATCTCCTGGAGTCCCATCAAATGACATTTTCATTAGCACTGTGAAACCTACGTCCTTGGGCTGGTACTCAGCAGCCAGAATTAAGCTGTTGTGGCAACTATGGTTTGGCTATTGCTTTAATTATGCATGTTTGGTTTGCTTTTTAACTGAGGGTATCCACCCTGATCCCTCGAGAAGGGCCACCCTGCAAATCAAGGCAGATAAACACTTTAAGGCATGCCAAAAAAGAGAAGGGGGGAAAACCTCTAAGGGTGCGGTCACACGATTGTTTTGATTGGGTTTCACTGCTGTTCCCTCTTGCATTTAAATTTGCTGATCAGACAGGCCAATCTGCCTCCTGCGCCGAAGCGGGCTCACTCGCGCAAGCCTCCCGGTTATCTCCCACGTTTTCCTGCTCCGGGAAAATCAAGTACTTTTCGGGTACTTGTGCTTTGACTCCACGATTTTGCCTATCTGGACAGCCATCTCTTGCGCAATGATTGCGATTAGGTCGTCTGACCGTCATTTGCTGCCATGAGTCCCCCTCCCCCAGCTTCCTCCTTTGAGCTCATGAGCAATCCTGCACTGAAACGCACAACTTCTTCCTCTCCTCTCTCTCTCCTGCCCCCCCCCCATCGGTCCCTGGGTTTCTTGGGTTTCCAGCAAGGCTCCTGTTGCCAGCCAGCTTCCTTCTCTGCCGGTCTGCTCCAGTGTCCACTTCTGTTCCCCCTCCCCGATCGTGTGTACTTTCACCAAAACCTGCTTTCCACCCCCTCTGGAGCCAGGAAGGGGGCAGAGAAGCCGACTCTTTCCTTTTTGTCCTTCGCACATGTGTTTTTTGCCAAGCTGCCGCCGTCGTGCGCAAGAGCAATGTGTATAAACCTCCAAGCGCTTGGTTGTATGTGGCCGGGTAGTTTTGTTTGCTGTTTGGGGGGGGGGGCCACTGTTGCCGCCCCTT